AAGAATCGCTTGAACCGGGGAGGCGGAGGTTGCAGTGAGAAGAGATCGCGCCACTGCACTCCAGCCTGGCGACAGAGGGAGACTCCATCTCAAAACAAAACAAAACAAAATGCCTCGCCTTACACATTGAGGTAGTACTGTAAGGATCTAAATGAGGCTAAAATGCTTAATAAGTCACAAAGTACTAGATGAATTTATGTCATTATGAATGTGGCACTCATACTGGCCGGGCACGGTGGCTCACGCCTGTAATCCCAGCACTTTGGGAGGCCAAGGCAGGCAGATCACAAGGTCAGGAAATGGAGATCATCCTGGCTAATACGGTGAAACCCCATCTATACTAAAAATACAAACAAAAATTATCTGGGCGTGGTGGCGGGTAATTTTTAAAATTATCGTCCCAGCTACTTGGGAGGCTGAGGTAGGAGAATGGTGTGAACCCGGGAGGCAGAGCTTGCAGTGAGCCGAGATCTCCCCGCTGCACTCCAGCCTGGGCGACAGAGTTAGACTCTGTCTCAAACAAAACAAAACAAAACAAAACAAAAACCAGAAAGAAATAAAAATAATTGAGGAGAAAGGATATTTGCCTGAATGGGTTTTTAATGCAGATAAAATTGCCCTATTTAAAAATTAAATGCCACAAAGGACATTTATTAATAAGGAAGGGAAGTGAGCACAATAATTTAAGGCAGGAAGGGACAGGCTAACTCTACTGTTTTATGGAAATGTAGATGGGTTTATAATCATAACTGCCCTTACCTATAAACCTGCTAACCCCTGAGCCTTGAAAAGATAACACCAGCTGCCAGTCTTTTGGTTGATAGGAAGGCCTGGATAATGAGAACCCTTTTTCTGGATTGGGTCCACTGATGCTTTGTCCCTGAAGTCAGAAAGCACCTTGCCAGTAATGGACTGCCTTTTAAAGTTCTTTTGATATTGGACATTGCCTCTGGCCACTCAGAACCCTATGAGTTCAACACTAAAGGTGTTGAAGTGGTCTACTTGCCCCCACACACAATGTTGCTAATTTAGCCTCTAGATAAGGGGGTCATAAGGACCTTTAAAGCTTATTAAATATGGTACTCTATGGAAAGGATTGTTAGTGCTGAGGAAGAAATCCCCAACGGAGAGAACATCATGAAAGTCTAGAAGAATTACACCATTGCAGATGTCATCAGTGTTACAGAAAAAGCTGTGAAAGTTACCAAGCCTGGAACAATAAATTTCTGCTGGAGAAAATTGTGTCCAGATGCTGTGCATGACTTCACGAGAATTACAACAGAGCCAATTGAGGAAATCATGAAAAGAGATTGTGGGTATGGCAAAAAAAAAAAAAAAAAGTAATGGATAAAGAGTTTCAAGATATGGATCTCAGAGAAATTCAAGAGCGATTAAATACCAAACCAGAGGAATTAATAAAGATGACTTGATGGAGCTGAGTGCTTCCAAACCAGTGCTAGATGATGAGGAAGAAGACATAGTAGAAGAAGCGGTGCCAGAAAATTAATTGACATTAGAAAATCTGGCAGGTTTCCAATTGTTCAAGACTGTCTTTGACTTCTTTCATCATATGGACCCTTCCATGATATGGGCACTGAAACTAAAGCAAATGGTTGAAGAAGGATTGGTGCCACAAGGAAACATTTTTAGAGAAACAGAAAAGGAAAAATGTCAGATAAAAATTATGATGTATTTCCACAGAATGACACCAAGTGTGTCTGCCTTTCTCACCTCCTTTCCACCTCCTCCACCACTTCCTCCTCTGCCACCCCTGAGACAGCAAGACCAACACCTCTTCTTCTTCCTCCTCCTCAGCTTACTCAGTATAAAGATGGTAAGGATGAAGGCCTTTATGATAATCCACTTCTACTTAATGAATAGTAAATATATTTTCCTTGCAATTTCCTTAGTAACATTAGCTTTTCTGTAGCTTACTTTACTGTAAGAATACAGTATGTAAAACATATAACAAAAAAGATGTGTTAATCAACTGTTTATGTGTTATCATAAAGCTTCTGTTCAACAGTAGGCTTTTAGTTAAGTTTTGGGGGAGTCAAAAATTGTATGAGGATTTTTGACTGCACAGAGGTCAGCACACCTAACTGCCCCCCGCATTCTTCAAGGGTCAACTGTACATCAGAAGTGATGATATATCATTTCCAAGACTCAGTTTTAAAAGATTATGGATCTCTTAGATCTCTTGCTCTGGGGGAAGCTGGGTACCATATTGTGAGGACACTCAGGGCCTATGATGCAGAAGATCATCAAGATGCCAAGATGTTCAGCCAATAGCCAGCAAGGAACAGAGGCTTGCCAACAATTATGTGACTGAGGCTGGAGCTGGAATCTCTTCTAGTGGAGCCTTCAGATAACGTTAGTCCTGACCAACAACTGGACTGCAACATCTTAAAATAACTTTAACCAAAACTATGCAACTAAGAGACTCCCACAGAGACCGTGAGATTGTTTGAAAATGATAAATGATATTTTAAGCTGCCAAGTTTGGGGATAATGTGTTACACAGCTATAGATAACTAAAGTATCTCTCTAGCAATTCCGTAGGAAAAAAAGCAGTGTGATTGGCGGGATTGGGGGATTTAAAAAAGACTGCTAAAATGTTAAATGCCTGCTAATGGAAACCCAAGGTTATAGGATCAGAGTTTCATATAAAGTTATGAAGAACAAGACAATAACCAAAAAAACTACATATAACCAACAGCAGAGCCAGTCTTAGCACTTGGCCAAATAGGCTGCTGCCAAGTAGATAGAATTTGAGAGTTAAAAGTTCCAATTACCCTTAGTTAGCCTGAAATTTTACCATTAGAGATTAATGTCACTGAACCTTATAGCATCAGGTCTTTAAAGTTCTCCTGGAAGAGATTATATCTTAAAATAGTATTTATAATAGGATTATGACAGAAGACAAAAATCTAACTAATGAATGGTTCATCTGAAGAGACTTTTAATACAAAGACTATTTATAGAAGTGTGGGCATGGTTAAAGAAACCAAGAAAGAATAGTGAAGTATCCAGAGACTAGCAAGAGAGGGAAGATATTTAGGAAAAAAAAAAAAAAAGGAAGGAAAGGGAAGAAGAGGGAAGGGGAGGGGAGGGAAAGGGAAGGGAAGGGAGAAATAAATTGTATTACCAGAACCCATTAAGAGGTAGACCCAAGGAGGAAGGCCCCCCTCCCACCCAGTTATAATAGTGACACAAATTGACCCCTGCCAAAACCTTGGTGTCAAAGCAGGGAGAAAGTGGGAATAAAATGTTAATTTCTCTTCTCTCATCCTCCAGTCTCACGTTGGTGCCTCCCTTTTGCCAAAGCTGACCCTCAATAAGAGGGTGAAGAGCCCAATTGGTACAGAGGTCAACCAGGACATAAAGCCAACAGAAAAAGACAGGGAATGGATAGCAGAGGGTGGCACAGTGTTGGAGCATCTTCAGATTAGAAAGAATCAAAGATCATCCAGGAGCATCCACCAGGCATTCTGCAGAGATCCTTTTTATTTCAGGAATACCAAAAACTCTAAGGGAGGCAAAAAGCATTGTCTTTGGGGTAAGGCAGACCTGCTTCCAAGCTATGTGACCTTAGTTAAATTACAGAACCTCTGAAAACCTCGAACTTCTTCTAAGTTGAGCCTCGGAATAACAACCTCATGGGTATGGGTGAAATTAAGTGATACACACAGAGGTGTAGAGACTGGCCTTCTCCCCAACAGGTAAGCTACTGACTTAGTTAAATATGAAAGATTCGATGCATCAGAGTCACACTGCAACCTAACTTTTCAACTAGTTAAGTGGTTCACCAAAACATCTTTTTTACTACTTAAATACCCATCGACTGAGGCCTGATGAAATACATTCTGATGCACTCATAAAAACACATACTATCTAGCTATATTTTAAAATGTAGCAGTTCTGTATACTGAAATATAGTGATTTCCAAGATAATACTTATTATTGAAGATATATTACATTGAAAGCTAGAGAGACAGATAATCTCTATCTCTGGAGTGATACATAAAAAACAAGTAAGAGTGGATGCCATTGGGAAGGATTTTGGAAGGCTGGGGCCAGGGGCGAAGGAACACGTAGTATTTTTAATATATATTCCATTATGTAGAGTACTGTTTGAATTTTTTCCCATGTACCTATACTATCCTTAAAAAAAATTAAAAAGACCAGGTGCAGTGGCTCACACCTGTAATCCCAGCACTTTGGGAGGCAGAGGCAGGTGGGTCACTTGAGGTCAGGAGTTTGGCCAACATGGCAACACCTCATCTCTACTAAAGATACAAAAATTAGCCAGGCATACTGGCACATGCCTGTAATCCCAACTACTTGTGAGGCTGAGGTGGGAGGACCACTTGAACCCGGGACGTGGAGGTTACAGTGATGGCATTCCTGCACTGCAGCCTGGGGTGACAGGGTGAAACTCCATTTCAAAAAAACAAAACAAAAAACAAACAAAAAAAAACCTTCCTTGACACCAACAGTATTTAGAGTTGGTGTCTTGTATTCTGTTTTTTCCATTTATTCCACAACCATTACAGAATGCTTGCTAATATATATACTAAGTGCTTGGCTACAAAAAGAATAAGACACAATCCCTGCTTTGAAATAGCTACAGTCTAGTTGTAGAGACAAAAAAACAAGCAGATAACCATTATGCAGTGTAATGAGTATGGCTTATCTTATTTTCCTTATTTAAAATGTGAAGACATACACACATACCCAATTCCACTTAAGCTATTTTCCCACTGCAATTATCACATTCTAATAGCCTATGTTATTTATTTATTTATGATGTTTATTTTCAGTCTTCCCTCATTCTACAAAGGTGACAATTTTTGCCTTTTTTATTCATTGATCCCCAACACCTAAAACAGTGAAATATTTCAATAGAAGTTTGTTGAATGAATGTTGAATAAATAAGTGCTATGCAGTATAAAAGCATGAAAAGGGAGCTACCGGAACATAGCAGAATGAACACCAACCTTGTATATGGAAGTTAGTGGGACTTCATAGTGGAAGTGACATTTGTGCCAGCTCTTTTGGCAAATCTGGGTGACTTTGACTGGAAGACCTAATATTCTAAGAGCAAGCAAATGAGAAATACAGAAACATGAAACACATAGGAAACGGTAAGTACAAAGGCATAGAGATATAAGAATAGTACATCTGGAAAACTAAACATATGGCAATAAACATTGGTTGTTGATAACTGTGTAAGCTGGGTGATAGGTTCTTAAAGATTCATTACGCCACTCTTTTTTGTGTATAGTTTAAATTTGTCCATAATACAAAGTTAAGAATAAATTAATAAACTATGTTTTAATGAGTATAAAAGAATGTCTATATATATAAATCTCAGAGAAAACTCTGATTGTCCATGTGCTTCTCCCTGAAAGCAATCACTATGGCGTAGGAAGATAGAGTAACACGATGGGCTTAAGCCTGGAATAGGTACTAGCAAGTGGCGGGGTGACAGGGGCAGTGCAGGGAGCTAGAGGACACCATGATTGACAGTTCCACCCGACCACATGGAACAGGGGAAAGAAGAGTGTCCTAAGGAAGGTTGGCAGCTGATCCAAATAAATGATATCATGGCCCCAAGGAGGGCTTCAATTGATACTGGAGATGAGGCAGTCAGAGAATGGATTGGGTGGTAGGAGACAATGGAGATAGGTAGAGAGGGCTTATTTTTCTAAATAAGGTCAGGCTGAACCAGACTTTGGAATCATAGAGAAATCTGTTGTTGGGTTGGGGTTGTGGGCAGAAGGTAGAATGAATGAAAATATGAATCTCACATTAGCTACATCTGGACACACAGTACTCAAAAATCTCCTGCTTTCCCGTAGAGGAATATTTGAAGATTGAATATGGATAACAACTGATAATGAAAATGCTATAATTTTGTCAGGTAAATTTTAAGTTTGATGCAATTAGAAAAACATCCCCAAAATAGCTTTGATTTGGTTATCATGTGACTAAACCCTGAAGAGCTTAGCTTAGTACAAAAGATATTCAAATACATGTCTCACATATGCTCAAGAAATTGAGCTGAAGGAAGAGACAAAGCAGCACAAGCCATCTGTTTAGAAGGTACGCAAGCTCCAGAGTGCGTGTGGAGAGAAAGGGGCCTCCGGTCTTCCAAGACCAGTGGGTAGCAGAAGAGTCAAAGGCTCCAAAAAGCAGAAACAAGATCCAGAAGTGGGGCAGGCACAATGCTTGAAGCCTGAAAACAAACATTGTGCCTTCTACGGTTGACCATGCAAAGGTCTTTCCTTCAAAACAGTTCCACACACTTCTCTAGGAAATCTTCCAGCATATCTCAGCAGTAATGAGCTGTTCCGCTAGTGGTATGAGCCTCTAGAGGATTCACTGGGGTGTGTTCAAGGCTAGCTTGTTAGGATAGAAGAGACAGGTTTTGATGACATTGGGTCAAAGTACCATGAGTACTAGAAACTTGCCACGTGGCCCAGTCATCTCTCCTTCATGAGGTTCATGAAGAATCCATATATGCATGTGCCACTGACAGATGAGAAATTAAAATATCACTTTATAGTTACCTGAATAAATGCCCAATTTCTTAGTGTAGAACTCTCTTTCAAAAACAAAGTTAGAGGCCAGGCACGGTGGCTCACGCCTGTAGTCCCAACACTTTGGGAGTCTGAGGTGGGCGGATCACTTGAGGTCAGGAGTTTGAGACCAGCCTGGCCAACATAGTGAAAGTCCCTCTCTACTAAAATACAAAAATTAGCTGGGTGTGGTGGCATGTGCCTGTAGTCCCAGCTACTCGGGAGGCTGAGGCTCAAGAATTGCTTGAACAGGGGAGGCAGAGCTTGCAGTGAGCCGAGGTCACGCCACTACACTCCAGCCTGGGCAACAGAGTAAGACTCGGTCTCCAAAAGAAAACAAAACAAAAAAACAAAGTTAGAGCAAGCAGCCTATACTAAAGGCCCACAAGGGCCTTCGTCTCCCTGTGACATACCAAGATCTCACTTTCCTGCCACATTAAACAAGATGCAAGCAAAAAATGTACACTTAGCTATGCATTTGAGGAAGAGAAAATATGGCCAGATCCCAAGGGAAGGCTCTGATTCAGCTTACCTATTCCTGCTGCATTAAGAGAAAGCTGAATGGAGGTTCATAACTCTGTTCATGTTAAACATGGATCAATTGATTCTCTAGAATCTGGTCAATCTGTAAACAACCCCTCTCTGGGAAAAGGTGAAGATTAGGAAAGAAGGGAAGGTATTGAGCCTCCTGTTGGAAGTAAATGCTCGGTGCCACCAAGTGAAAATAGCACTCAGGCAAAAGTTTTCTCAGCAAGGCAACTTAATTCTATAGAAGGATGTGTCTCATGGATGGAGCAATGGCAAGAACACAGTCTAAGCTAATTCCAGTTGCCTGTTTTAAAGAGAGTGAGGGTACAAGCCAGAGTGGCAGGGTGAGTAGTTTCTGCTGGTAGGTTGGGAAGGATGGTTACAGAACAGGTGACTAAGAATGACTAAGGACAGAACAGGTGACTAAGGATGACTACAGACAAAAGAGGTGACAGAGGCTAGGAGGGGGTTCTTTACTGAAACTAGGGTCAAAGAGGCACAAAGAACAAGGAAGTTAAACTTTAAAATGGAAAACAAAGAACAGGGAAGCTAAACATACTGACATATTGGTTCTTTGAAGAGGAACTCAGAGCTCATTGTACTTAACAATTTTTCTCCCTCTTGAATTTTAAAGGGAGTTAACAGGCTAAACTTTGAAGAGGAATTTACTGTATCCTACACTCCCTTCCCTCTAAACACTTGCTCTTCAAAATGTGGTCCATGGACCAACAATATCAGCAGCACCTGACAGCTTGTTAGAAACATAATCTTGGGGCGGGATGCGGTGGCTCACGCCTATAATCCCAGCACTTTGGGAGGCCGAGGTAGGCGGATCACGAGGTCAGGAGATCAAGACACAGTGAAACCCCGTCTCTACTAAAAATACAAAAAAATTAGCTGAGCATGGTGGTACATGCCTGTAGTCCCAGCTACTCGGGAGGCTGAGGCAGGAGAATCGCTTGAACCCGGGAGGCAGAGGTTGCAGTGAGCTGAGATCATGCCATTGCACTCCAGCTTGGGTGACAGAGTGAGACTCTGTCTCAAAATAAGAAAAAAAAAAAAAAGAAAGAAACATAATCTTGGGCCCCAGCCTAAATTAACAGTCAGAAAACTGCATTTTAATAAGGTCTCCAAGCAATTCATATACACATTAAAGTTTGAGAAGCACTGAGATGCTTTTTTACATTTTTAGTATTTTTTTATTTCAATCGCTTTTGGAGTACAAGTAGTTTTTTGTTACATGAATTGTATAGTGGTGAATTCTGAGATTTTAGTGTACCCATCACCGAAGAAAAAATAAATTTGGACAAAAATTTAAGTATAAAGATAGTTAAGAGCATAGATTCTGGAGCCAGATTTCTTGGGTTTAAGTCCCAGCTCCACTACTCATTAGCAGTGTAATCTCAGGCAAGACTCTGTGCCTTGGTGTCTAAAATGAGGACAACAATAGCACTGATTTCACTAAGTTATTATGAAGATTCAGTGGGTTATTATATGTTAAGTGCTTAACCCAATGCCTGGCACAATGTAAATACTATATGTAGGTGGTATCTATTACACATTGTACCTAATGTAGAGTTTGTTTGTTTTTTTAATCCCTAGGCCCTCCCTACTCTCCCCTTTCTAAGTCTCTAAAGTCCATTATACCACTCTGTATGTCTTTGCATACTCATAGCTTAGCTCCCACTTATATATGAGAACATATGTTTTTTGGTTTCCCACTCTTATGTTACTTCACTTAGAATAATGGCCTCTGGCTCCATCCAAGTTGCTGCAAAAGACGTTATTTCATTCCATTTAATGGCTGAGCAGTACTCCATGGTGTATACATACCACATTTTATTTACCTACCCATTAGTCAATGGGCACATAGGTTGCTTCCACATCTTTGCAATTGTGAACTGTGCTGCTATAAACATACGTGGAGAAGCACTGAGTTTCTGACTCTTAAGTTCATGCTCAGATTTTCTGTCATTTGGGTCTTTTCTCACTTCCTAAAATAGTGCTCTGCATATGGCCAATGGTTAATGAAAGAATGTTTAAGAAATTCTTGTTGGCATTTATTTAATTCCATTTGAAGGGAGAAGACCATTTCTGGGAAGCCAGAACACGTTTACCAATGAGTGGCTTAAACAGAGACAGAAGCATACTAACAACAAGCAAACAGAACAATTCTAGACATACACAGACAACTCTGTGGAGCGGGACAGATGGGCATGGTAATTCTACCCTCACTCCATGCTACCGCTCTTACTATTCCCTCCCTTCCTCGTTCATGCTTGCCTTTATCAGACCCACTACTAAGCTCTTGTGCTGAGTTCTGCCTCACACACAGGGTGGTACCACATGGGTTACATGTTTCTCATAGCCTTGTCCTCAAACCCAAAATCTAAGAGTGAGATACTGTACCATTAAGCCAGCACACAGTGGGAAAATAAAGCAATTTGGCATGTCAGTATTTCTTACCTTTAAATGGTTGTGACCACTGTGACCCAATTAATGTCTTATTTCTGACAGGAGCCAAATCCCAGGCCTGGGTCTTTATCCAACATTTGCCTCCTGTAGCCTGTCCTAAGTTATTTTAGGGACTGGTAACAACAAAAATTCAGAGTGCCCAACCTCCAATTTCTTCTCTTTGCTCTACCTGATGCAATACCTTAAAGTAAAAAGAGCCGGCGGTTGGCAAATATTTATTAATTTACTGGAGTTCTGTCATTACATTCTTATGGGATCCAATAATGACAGGATTTAATGAGCAATAATTAAAGTTACTATCTGTCGAGCACTTATGATATGCTTTACAACAACCCTATGAAATAAGTAGTAGTCCTATTTAATGAATGAGGAAATTAAGTTTTCAGAAGTTCAATAACTTGTCCAGGAAATAGTCAAGATAGAATTCCAGCTAACACTTGTCTGAGTCTAGAATCTTTTAACCACTGAACTTATATGATGTCTCACTTGTAAGATACCACTGGAAATGCACTGTGTGGGCAGAGAATCATCTACCTTCTCCAGGAATAATGTGAGGATCAAATGAGATGAAAAATGTCAAAGCATTTAGGAAATTAAAGAAATATAAAATATAAGATATAATTTAGCACACTAAAATTGTGTCCAAATAAAAGCCCTAGGTTCTCTATAAATGACAACTGTATATGTGAAAATTTTTCACCTTTATAATTAGAGCTACCTCAGTTAATTCTATATACACTTTTAATTTATCAAATTAGAAAATATTTCTTAAGAGCTCACCCTTGGTGTTGGCAAGGAGGCGGTGAAACTAGCACTTTGCTGACGGGAGCACGAGTTAGTACAATCTTTCTGAAAAGCAAGTTGACAATGTGCTTCGAGACTTTATTAAAACTTGAAATAATGTTTTGTAAGAAAAAATAAATTTGGACAAAAATTTAAGTATAAAGATAGTTAAGAGCATAGATTCTGGAGCCAGATTTCTTGGGTTTAAGTCCCAGCTCCACTACTCATTAGCAGTGTAATCTCAGGCAAGTCTCTGTGTCTTGGTGTCTAAAATGAGGACAATAATAGCACTGATTTCACTAAGTTATTATGAAGATTCAGTGGATTATTATATGTTAAGTGCTTAACCCAATGCCTGGCACAATGTAAATACTATATGGAGGTGGTATCTATTATTTTTATCTCAGTGTTATTTATAATAGCAAAATCTGCCTGACTATAGAAGAATGCTTAGGTACACTACGGTACACTTACAATGGAATTTTTTTTTTTTTTTTTTGAGATGGAGTCTCCCCCTGTGACCCAGGCTAGAGTGCAATGGCACAATCTGGGCTCACTGCAACCTCTGCTTCCCGGGTTCAAGAGATTCTCCTGCTCAGTCTCCCAAGTATCTGGGATTACAGGCACCCACTACCACGCCCGGCTGGTTTTTGTATTTTTAGTAGAGATGGGGTTTCACCATGTTAGCCAAGCTGGTCTTGAACTTCTAGTCTCAGGTGAGCTGCCCACCTCCGCCTCCCAAAGTGCTGAGATTACAGGCATGAGCCACTGCACCTGGCCACTTACAATAGAATATTGTACAGAATATTAAAAATGAGGTTTTAAAAGAATATTTAATTACATATAATGTAAAGTAAAAAGCCCAGGAAGCAAGCCTGGGGAACATCGCATGACCCTGTCTCTACAAAAAAAAAAAAAAAAAAAAAATCGACCAGGGGTGGTGGTGTGCACCTACAGTTGCAACTCCTCACGAGGATAAGGTGAGAGGTGAGAGGATCCCCTGAGCCCAGGAGTTTGAGGCTGCAGTGAGCAATTATCATGCCACTGCACTCCAGTTTGGGTGACAGAGAAAGACCCCGACTCAAAAAAAAAAAAAAAAAAAAAGAAAGAAAGAAAAGAAAACAACAACAACAAAACAGTAAATGAATTGTGTATATTGTTCCATACTACTTATGTTTGCTAAAAGAGCACTTTTTACAAATATAGATGCCTAGAAAACAACTGGTAGGAATTACATCAAAATATTAACAAAGAATACAACTGGGTATAGACTGGGGGGTTCTTTATACTTTACTGTATTTTCCAAAGTCTCTAGAGCAGTGTTTCTCACACTTTAATAGGTAAACAAATCACCCAGTACGCTCGTTAAAATGCAGCTTCTGGGTTAGTAGGTATGGGATTTTCAGATTCTGCATTTCTGATAGGTTCTCTTGTGATGCTGATGATATTGGCCCAAGGTCTACACTTTGAATAGCAAGGTTTTAAAGCAGCATATCTGAACCAATGTACTGGTTAACTGAGACCCACCCCCAGAGTTTGATTTCGTAGGTCTGGAGTAGGATCCTAGGATTTGCATTTCTGACTGTTTCCCAGGTGATGCTGACACTGCAGGTCTGTGAACAGCACTCTGACAACCGGTGCTCTAGAATCTTTTTTTTTTTTTTTTCTTAACATTAAGGAGAGGAGGGCACTAAAAAATATGTCAGGCTTCTCCATTGCCTCCAAAATCAGATCGAAATTCTTCATCCAAAAGCCCCCATAATGCAACCCAATCATTTCCTACTACTTCTCATTAGGCCATAAAATCAAACCACTATGCCCTAAATGCACCTGAGATTTCAAACATCAGGACTTCCGCTGGATTTCCTCACTCCGGCTATGCCACTTCCTTCTATTTCCTCATGCCAAATCCTACTCAGGCTTCAAGGTCCTCAAATGCTATTTCCTCCATAAAGCCTCCTGATCTACCACTACTCAAAAAGCTACCTCTCCCTCCCCTCCTTAGGGCTGCACAGCACTTTTCGTTCCTCCCCAGTGACAAGACACCATCTGTACCTGGTCCAGAGACTCTCCCGGTTGGTGGTGTATCTTTGCCTGTAGACTGGGAGTTTCTTGAGGTCAGGGGAGTGACTTGCCTATCTTTGCCTCTTAGCCTTAGCAAATTCCCAGTAGACAGCTGACACTCAGAATTGACCAAAAGAAGAAAGGAATGGGACCTCCTGAGGAAGGGCACAGAACTGTCCTGTAAATGGAAACTAGACCGTACACACGCCAAGCCGATGACCCACAGTAACAGGTGCTCTCCATCTCTGATGTCTGTGATTCATTCTGCACAGCTGCGCATACACAGCGCACGCACACACAGGCTCCCAGAATACGGCGCCCCACACGCTGTACAGCACGCGGCGTTCTGGACGCCCCAACGGCCACACACACCGAGACACACCTCAGCGACAACCTGGATCCACAAAAAGGAGTCCCTGCCCCCTTAAAAATATTAACACCTTACTGCAAAGAACTAAAACCTACGGCTTGCGCCTGCGCCCCTTGTTCCCCGCCGCACCTTTTCTTGTAGTTAAGAAATCTATTTCTGCACGCATTTCGTCGCCGCCGCCCCCACCCCTACACACACACACACACACACACACACACACACACGCACTCCCCTTCCCCCTACACCTCCACCCCCCCACCCAGCCGCCTTTCAGACGAGGCGCGCCTCGGAGAGCGGGATTGAATGGTAAAAAGCGGGGCCGTCTTTGTCATTAATCCTCCCCTCCTTTGGGCCAGCCAAGCTTCTTCCGGGTCAGCGACCATCCCCGCCACCTCACTCGGGGCCACGGTCTCCCCGCAGCGCTAGCCCCGGGCCCGCGAGCACCGGCCCCCGCCGCCCGCAGGTTGCGGAGGGAGGAGGGCGGGAGCGGGCGGCGTGGAGCGGGGAGGCGGGGGAGGGGCGGGCGTCCGAGGCGGCGGCGGCGGTAGCGGCGGCGGCGGGAGCAGCCTCTGGCAGCAGCGGGGAGAATGGGAGTGCGGGGCGCCAGACCGCCGCGGGGTGTCACGGCCGCCACGAAGCCTGCGAGGCGCGGGGCCGGCGCCCGCGGCTTTTAAACCCAGGAAGGCGCGGCGGCGGCGGCGGCGGGCAGATCGCGGCGCGCACCAGGCGCCGGGGCGGCGGCCGAATGGAGAGAAAGGGCTCGGCGTCTGGGGCCAAGGGGAACCCGAGCCCGCCAGCGGCCGGAGAGGGGCAGCGGCCACCGCCGCCGCTGTGCGTCCCGGGCGGCGGCGGAGGAGCCCCGGCGCGGGGCCAGGTTGGGGCGGCGGCCGAGCCGGCCGAGCTCATCCGGCGAGCGCACGAGTTCAAAAGCCAAGGGGCGCAGTGCTACAAGGACAAGAAATTCCGTGAAGCCATCGGCAAATACCACCGGGCGTTGCTGGAGCTGAAGGGGCTGCTGCCGCCCCCCGGGGAACGGGAGCAGGACTCGCGCGCGGCCTCCCCGGCTGGGGCCCCCAAGCCCGGCCGCCTCTCGGAGGAGCAGAGCAAGACAGTGGAAGCCATCGAGATCGACTGTTACAACAGCCTGGCAGGTGAGCCGCGCCGCGCCCCCCGCCCCGCGGTCCCAGGTCTTTGGCCCGGTCCCTCCGCGGACCACTGCGGCGCTCCCGCGGTGCAGATTCTCCTGCTGTGACTGTGCTGCTCCTGGGAAGAACCTGGGAGGGAGGCGCTTTGGAAAAAGTGTGACTTTCAGGATTATGGTTTTCAAAGGCCATAGTCATCTCTTGTCCCTTCGCTAGCATACATCGTAAATCTCACCTAGAAATGACTGCATAGATAGAAGGGGACCCCGCTGGCCTGGCTATGGCTGCTGCTGTTACTGCTCACCAGTGGACCTGGGTCCAAAATGCGGAAGCAGCGCCCGGGGTGGGCCCCCGCAACCACCGCTAGCCCAGCTTTTTCCTGCGAGTGGGTCCCGAGGGAGGCCACGCACCTGTCTGCTCTCAGGTAGCATTAGCACCAGGACTTGTCCTCGCCTTTTCCCCAACTAACCGCATCCCTGTAGGTAAGATCTTGCCCAAGTTTTTTGGCCCCAGTAGCAAAGGGGAGTCTGATACCAAGCCTTCAGGATCTTGAGCAAAATGGATTCCAGAATGCCACTTTCTTCTCTCTGAGCTCTGCTGGGGCTCCTGGTTGCCAGGTGAAGATCACAATCTCAAAGGAAGCTTGGTTCATGGTTGGGCTTGAACTGTGCTGCATTCTCCCTCTCCTCCCTGCCCCTTTCTCACTATGTGTAGCATCAGTCCTCTCGCCAGCTGGCTGCTAGGGGTGAAGGAAAAGGGGGCCCTTCTCTTGGGCAAAGAAGGTGTACATTCCAACATTCCCTTTGGGGATAAGGGCCAAAATCAGGCATTTAAAAAATTTTTAATTTAGGCGCAGGAATATTTAAAGTCTCTTAAAAAAGGAAGAGTCTGGCTTGTGCCAGGGCCTTCCTGTGAGAAGGTGGGAGAGGTTGGCAAAGGCAACTTGAAAAGCATTCTCTACTCTTCTCTTGCCCCATTTGGTGAGATTTTGGCATGGTCAACCTTCTCCGACCAAATAAAGGGAAGTTCCTCCTAGTTCCTAACATGTGAGGTTGCCTAAACTGTCTATGGACAGTTAGAGCAGGGTAGGGGTGGAAGAGTGACTGGGTGTGGCAGAGGATGGTGAATGTGTATGAAGCCCAGGCAGTTAGGGGGGTTAAAAATAAATCCTGGCAATTCTGCTCTGTTCTTAAATGCAGATCTCTCTGTTCCCTCTGAGGTTTCTAGTACCAACGTACCTCTGTCTTCTCGGAATGCCATGCCCAGTCTCATTTTTGATCAGGCTACGGAGGTACTTTGTAAATTGTAAAGTAGTTTACAGACTTAAAGGATTAATAGAGTAGTAGTAGCAGCAGTTGGAGGAATGGTGGTGCTAATAGCAATACTAGCAGTAATAGCAGCAGATAAAATTGTAGTACAGCAAAAATTGACTCTTTCAATCCATTATAAGATACAGCTTGAGTCTTTTAGTTCCCGTAAGTCTCTGGCATACTGGCTGCTGCCCCATGAATAGTTAAAGGGCAGAGCAGCCATGGGTGGAGGAAGAGGCACTGTGGATTGCTAATGCGGTGACTTTGGAGTGGTAATGGAGTCTTATATTTAGTCAGTATTATCCATGGACATTCTAGGGCTGCCAGCCAGTGGCTAGCACTGCCTGCCCTCCACCCTAGACGTGGTTACATTTCCACGGTGAAATCAAAGATGTGTCCTTGGTCAGGCCAGCCCAGTCAGGGTGGGGCTGAAATCTGGACAGCTCCACCACTCCCATCCTCACCTCACACACTGGAAAACTTCAACAGTGAGAGAATGGAAAGTAGCAATAGCAGATTTTCCCCTCTTCTGCCTTCTCCAGTGCTCACCACTTATATTAATAATTAATTGTGTGTGCTGTTAGGCATCTTCCATACCTTGTCTCTTTAAATCTTTATAATCTGTATAAAAGAAATATGATCATCAGTTTTGCAGAGAAAAAGCTCAAGGCTCCAGAGCCATTCTTCTCCAAAGGCAATGTTCTTGTCATCATACTTTGATACACAAAGTCAGCATCCTCTGGTCCTCTGTCTCACTTGAGCCCAGTTTCAGGTGGGCTCCAAAGCCTTGCACTTTGGAAATTCCTTTGGGAGATCTCAGGCCTGGTAACCAGGAGAAAGAAATAGAATACTTTGATTCAAGGCTCTAACTGGCTATTTCCAGATGTCAAGTTTCACAAAAGAAAGAAAAGAGTGATTATAAGCAAAGCAGTTTTGTCAAAACCAAAATCTGTATCCTGTATAGAAAATTGAGCTAGGAGGATGGTTCCACTTAAAAGTCACTCTGGGGAGAAGTAGAAGCCTTACGTTTGTTTCCTTCAGGGCTATGTATAAAATCAGTGATGACTATTTCAGAAGTCCTAGCTAATAAGAAAATATCCTTTTTGGTTAGATTACAAAATAATCAATGCCTGTAATATGTATTTTCTTTTGTAAAATACTAAAACATTTAAAGAAGAAAATACACAATTACCTGTAATCCAGTTAGAAACCCATTGTGGTGTATTTCCTTCCTGTATTTTTTTCTGTGAATAAATGTAAACAGTTTACAAAGCTGAGGTCCTTCTGTGTATACAATCAGGTATCCTGCTTTTAATCCCGTTTACTTATGTCAGCAGCATTTTTCACATTTCGTGAAAATATTTTCATGAAGATTATTTTAAATGGCAACAGAAAAGTTTTAATATGTATTTATACTTCTCATTGGCTAGAAAGAAAGGAAAGATGATCACTGGTATTGCTGTTAGAGCCAGAACAGTGCAGCATGGCCCATGAGATATCTTTTCCCCTGTGTGCCTGCTAAAAGGAAGGAGACCAGCAACTGGAGGTTTATTCTGGAAGAAAGGCAGTTGACCCTTCCACCAGGGTTGCAGCACCAGCTGAGCAGCCCAACAAGCTCCAGGTTCTGGGGCCGTCTGAATATATTTAATCAAGGATCTGTCCTCCTTCTACACAAAGCTGTGTATGGAGAGAGAGGACTGGGTTTTAGGAGGAAGTTGGACTACTAGCCCAGAAGTACCTGGAAAATTAAGCTGTGTTGCTAAGGGCATCGCTGCTCCAAACAAGAGGTGGTTATGAGGCTTCTGGAGTAAATCTAGGCTCAGTAAACCCTTGTACTCCACATGGAAGCCTCCAAAAGAATAGCAAGGGGACAGCTAGAATGTGCTAAGAGATGTTGGTCTAAAAATCCGTTTGGATGACTTGAGGGGACACATGAAAGATGTGCAGGCAATTTGCAAACGGCTCCAGGCTGTGGTCTCTTCTGGCTGGGATTTCTTTTTGGTTGGAAGGGATCTGACCAGTTGTGCTGGGCCCCTGGATGTGATTTTTGTGTATCTTATTTTCCAAGAAATTCAAAGAAATAGGTGGGGAGCATTCTGTTTCTACAGAATTTCAGGTGATCCTGATACAATGGTTAGAAAAGATAGCCTGACCTTCCTGGGGAGACATAGGAATCTGATCTTTACAGAGCCTATAGAGGAAGCATGTATTGGCCTGTTGATGGACTCTTCTTGACATTGAACAAGATACAGGACTCCCCTGGGGCCTTGGAATGTTCTGTGTAGGACCCTTTGAAGGGCAGAGCCTTTTGCCCTACATTGGTTCCTGTGGGGCTGTGGTGGCCCTAGCTGAAGTATGATCAAAGGAATATAACACACAATGATTTTGCTGGTATCTTCAAATGATGTTCAAGGCCAGCAGTAGAGATGGAAATCAACAAACCATGGCATTGGACCTGAAGGCTAGGAGCTGTGTCTCTGTCCCTGGGATACCTTGTGACCTTGGATAAGCCCCTGCCATTTTATTTTACCTTCATTTTCCCATCTACTGAGAGCTATGTTTAGGAGATTTTTGTTGATCTTACCAAAGGGGCACCTAATATCCATTGATCCCAATTGAAG